AGCACTTTGCGCGTGTTTAGTCGACGTTGTATTCGGTATTATTGTCACGCTGGAGCGCTCAGTCCTGATCTCGCTTCTGCACCGGGTAGAACGTGGAGTGAAGCAGCAGTCGTGGTGATTCACGATCCTGCACTCACCGATTCACTCGAGTCACTAGCTCACCTTCCGCGGTCAGTCGTCCCCTCATCGTTCTACTATCGCGGCTACTACTACTACTACTACCATGCTTACCGCTTCCTGTGAACGTCGCTCGTTCATTCCTCCACCCATGCTGAGGACTCGGTCGACCAGACACTGACTGTTTAACCTCATCCACTCCTTGTCCAACCACCACACTGCAGGTCACAATAACACACTAACCCCCCACTCACTCACTCAGTCATTCACTAACTTACTCTGACACTCACCCACCCACAGACCCTCTCACCCACCCGCCTGCTCACCCACTCACCCACCCACTCACCACACTGCAGGTCACAATAACACACTAACCCCCCACTCACTCACTCAGTCATTCACTAACTTACTCTGACACTCACCCACCCACAGACCCTCTCACCCACCCGCCTGCTCACCCACTCACCCACCCACTCACCACACTGCAGGTCACAATAACACATTAACCCCCCATTCACTCACTCAGTCATTCACTAACTTACTCTGACACTCACCCACCCGCCTGCTCACCCACTCACCCACCCACTCACCACACTGCAGGTCACAATAACACACTAACCCCCCATTCACTCACTCAGTCATTCACTAACTTACTCTGACACTCACCCACCCGCCTGCTCACCCACTCACCCACCCACTCACCACACTGCAGGTCACAATAACACACTAACCCCCCATTCACTCACTCAGTCATTCACTAACTTACTCTGACACTCACCCACCCACAGACCCTCTCACCCACCCGCCTGCTCACCCACTCACCCACCCACTCACCACACTGCAGGTCACAATAACACACTAACCCCCCATTCACTCACTCAGTCATTCACTAACTTACTCTGACACTCACCCACCCACAGACCCTCTCACCCACCCGCCTGCTCACCCACTCACCCACCCACTCACCACACTGCAGGTCACAATAACACACTAACCCCCCATTCACTCACTCAGTCATTCACTAACTTACTCTGACACTCACCCACCCGCCTGCTCACCCACTCACCCACCCACTCACCACACTGCAGGTCACAATAACACACTAACCCCCCATTCACTCACTCAGTCATTCACTAACTTACTCTGACACTCACCCACCCGCCTGCTCACCCACTCACCCACCCACTCACCCACCCACTCACCCACCCACTCACCACACTGCAGGTCACAATAACACACTAACCCCCCATTCACTCACTCAGTCATTCACTAACTTACTCTGACACTCACCCACCCGCCTGCTCACCCACTCACCCACCCACTCACCCACCCACTCACCCACCCACTCACCACACTGCAGGTCACAATAACACACTAACCCCCCATTCACTCACTCAGTCATTCACTAACTTACTCTGACACTCACCCACCCGCCTGCTCACCCACTCACCCACCCACTCACCCACCCACTCACCCACCCACTCACCACACTGCAGGTCACAATAACACACTAACCCCCCATTCACTCACTCAGTCATTCACTAACTTACTCTGACACTCACCCACCCGCCTGCTCACCCACTCACCCACCCACTCACCCACTCACTCACCCACCCACTCACCACACTGCAGGTCACAATAACACACTAACCCCCCATTCACTCACTCAGTCATTCACTAACTTACTCTGACACTCACCCACCCGCCTGCTCACCCACTCACCCACCCACTCACCCACCCACTCACCACACTGCAGGTCACCTCACTTCTCTTTGTGCTTCTTCCCTCGCACTGCTCCACTTTGCAGTTCCCTCCTCCCACCGTCTCCTCTCCTGAGCTCTCATAATAACCTCGCTCTGTTCAAGGAATGTGTTCACTCTGTTTCATTACAACTTTGACCATGCTGTTTGCTGCTGGCCGCTTGATGTGTTTGGCCTGTGCTCAGTAAATGCGTTTAAAATATTTAAAAACACTTCTCATGAATTGGTCGATAACACCTTAATATACAGAGGATCACAGAACTCAGGGAGATATCAATTTGGTACCGGCTCGCCGCTTGGTCGCCGACTTTCCCACTCGTCTGTGGTTCCTCCTCGAATGCTGTGCGGCGGCGTTTTATCAGTCGAGGTCATCGTTTTATTATTAAAATATAATAATTTACAAACACATTGGCACAGATCCCCTTTGCCCCACGCCTCCCTCGCAAGAGTCTGCCACCCGGGCTGGGGATCATTCAAAGGGATTGGGCCTAACTATTTCCCCAGCACGAGCGCTGTCCCGCACACACGGCGCTGTATGCTACCAGGGCCCAGCGGTGTACGTGCTGGTGAATAGTGCAGCCTATTCAGTCCATGTCTGTCGGGCGGGCGGTCTCGGAACGGCTGTTGAGCAATTTGCCAGAACAAGGGCGATTTGGCGATTTGTGCCAAAGAGGAAAATCGCGCGGCTCAACACAGCCCGGCCGTTGCGCCTGTTTTACCCAAAACGCATTCCCCGTGCGCATGGGGTGGAGGCGGCGGCGGCGTTGGCGGCGAGGGAGAAATTAAAATTCTTGCCGGGGCCACCTGGCCGGCGCGGCGGCACGCGTGAGCTCTGTTCTGCGGCGCGCCGCCCGTAATTTGCCCACGGGCGAGGGGAGCGTTACCCGCAGCCCCGCACCGAGGGGAGCGAGCGCCCGTGGGGAGCGGCGCGCCGAGCCACGAACCCGTCAACCTGAGTTCGACTTCCGCTCGTGACCAACGCAGTGGTGATTATCCGAACTGATCCTCGGCCTCCCCGAGGTTGATTCGGCCTCGCAACTGAGGGCACGGTGGCGTGTGTACACATCGCCACTGGGGACACAACAGTGGCTGGGCGCTGCGCCGGCCACGCCACCGCCTCGTGTCGCCGTGCCGGCTTGCCCGCTAAGAGGGTTACAGAAGGGACAGTAGTGTACACTGAGAATGATACCAGAAGCATTGTCTGTCTTCCTACGCAACACCTTACTCACCTGTCTAGTCGGAGGTGATAACGCTCGGGATGGTCTGTAACTCTTTTACTAAAGACACTCTGTCTTCCACTCCGCCACGTGGCCCACACGGTCTCAGAAACGTGGGAAACATAACCACACCCCTATTAACGCGATTCGTACGAGTAAGATGCCTCCAGGCATACACGTCTCGGTACACCGAGACCACCGACTCGGCACATCTGTGAACCCCGTTTAATCAGCTACAACCCAGGTAGATCCTCACCCATGGATATCAGCGGTGGCGGCTCAGTGTCTCTGAAACGACCATTATGAACCCCCCGATAGAGACAGACAGACGCGCCGACCCAGGGCTTGAACCCCCCACGACCTTGGCGCTGCCGGCTCAGTGCTGGCTCAGTGCTGGCTCAGTGCTGGCTCGGCGGCTCTGACCCCTAAGCCACGGGGCCACCCTGACACGGCGTAGCCACGGGGCCACCCTGACGCGGCGTAGGCACGGGGCAGGGTGCTAAGCTGTGTCCGGGCGGTGGGCGGCGCTCGGGTTAGCGGTGAGCCGTGGGGATGAGAAAGGTTTATCGGACGCAGGGGGGACGGATGTCTGGAGGGGACCCCCACGACCCCCGTTCAACCCCCGACGACCGTCAGGGCACCCACTCCCCTCCCCGCCAACCCCCCCACCCGCCTGCCCCGCCCCGGAGAGATTATCCTTAAACTTGCCGGGGTTCGGAGTTCACGTAAACAGTCGCACTTATTTATTTATGTCACCCACTTAGCACCACCCTGAGCTCAAGGGTTTAGAGAACACGCACGCATGCACGGGTGTGCACCCACATTAACACTCGCAGGCACATGCACACATGGGCAAATACTCACATATTCACACACACACACAGATGACAGGCAGACACATGCAGGCTGGCGGACATAACGGCAAATACACCATTGCATGCACACACATACACTGCACAAGGACACACATGCACAGGTACATCGCATCACCACCACCACCACCATTGTGACCGCCGTCCTGAGTCTCCATGTGAGTCTCTCATGGGGACCAGCCTGGGCCCGTTCACTCGGCACTCCAAGGGAGTCCAACTTTTCTTCAATTATGTTTCTCTCAACCGCAGAAGTTTTACCACAGTGATCAATATCGTCATCATCACCATCATCATGGGCGACATCCGATGAATAATCGCTGCCTTGCTCATCCCTCGCTGGGCTATTAACGCCAACCTCGACGAACGAGCAGAGGCCTAACCAGTGGCAGCTTGGCAGGCAGTGGCACCCACCCTCTCCTCCCATCCTCACTGTGAACCCTTGCATAGGAATAACATCTTATAACTTCATCGTCATCAGCAGCCATGGTCAGTCCACTGCTGGATTAAGGCCTCCCCACACTGCCACCATCGCTCGCAATTGTGCGATGCGACGTCCCAGCTCGCCGTCTGCACGTGAGCCCACGTCACCGGCATCGCTCCATGGACCGGAACGTCGTCAAAACGTTCTTTGTACTACTTTGGGGAGAAATCAATAGTGGTTACCCTACGGATAGACTTGCCCATGCTATAGGTTGGCTGCGTATGGCGCGAAAGAAGTTAAACGTCCATTACATTTACTCCTCTGGCTCTGAAGGGCTGTGAACAGGAGATGAGCACCAATGTCTCGATGCTCATTTGAGCAGCAGGAACTCACTCTGACTTTGTTTTAATCAATTTAACCAGAAGTGTTTCTCCCAGTAGACCCCTTCATTGAGACGATCACCTCAGTCCCACGAAGGAGCGTCTGTCAACATCGCATGAGAGACGCACTCATCAATTAACAACTCGTCAGAGCGCAGACGACGATTAACATCATGACGAAACGCCACTCATGCCCTGTCCTCCCACCCCGTGCCCCCCGCCCCCCTTCCCAGTCGACCTGGAGCACATGCGCACGGTGAAGGCCGACAAACACTCGCGCTTCTGCCAGGAGAACGGCCTCAGTAGCCACTTCGTGTCAGCCAAAACCGGGGACTCGGTGAGTCTCGCTCGCTCGCTCGTGTGTGTGTACGTGCGTGTGTGTGTACGTGCGTGTGTGCGTATACGCGCATGTGTGTGTGTGCATTCCGTGGGAAGTGGCTCGTGAAGGATGCTGCTGGGCAGCTGGAGACAGTCGCCCTCCAACAACAATGGAGAGCGGAGGAGCGACGCTCACAACAACGAGCGACGTGACGGGCAGATAAACTACAGTGAGGTAACACAGTGAGGAGCACAGGTGGTGCATCTGCCAGATGTCTCAGTCAGTCAGCCCACGAAATCTGGGTCTGTCCTATGAGCTCCTGTCCGTGAGCCTTCACGTGGCCTCAAGGTGCACCGAGCCTGGCACAAGCGCAGCAGTGAAGTCATCACCACTCAGTGGTGCACGGCAGTGGCTGTTGTGTTCCGTGGGGCAGTGAGGCGGCTTTGGTGGTGTGAAGCGGTCGCCTGGTGTGGTTAAGATGCTGTGATTGTGGTGGTTGTGGTGGTGCGAGTGTAAGTGGTTGTGGTGTTTTGGTTGTACCAGTGCAGTTGATGCATCGTGGTCGATGTGGTTGTGGTTGCAGGTGGCCGTGTGTTTCCAGAGAGTAGCGGCCGACACTCTCGGCATCAAACTCAACAAAGCGGAGATGGAACAATCTCAGGTGACCCCGTCCGACCCCATACGACCCTGTGTGACCCCGACTATTTGACTTAGCCCGACCTTCAAACCGCCTTGTGAACTCACGCGACCTTAATCGAGCCGGTCACCGATCGCTACGCGCCCGTTACTGTGTGCGTGGCGACCAATCATTGCCAGTTATGCAAATTACATTACAATTATATGCGACATTGCGTTTGAATAAAACTATACGAATTAGACATCAAATGAGAAACAATGCAAGTAAAATAAAATCCTGGTTTGAATCTTGACCTTGAATCGCGATGGTTCATCGCACCACTGAGCAAAGAGGAAGGGAAGTCACATGATCATCATAGTCGGGACTGCCACACTCACTAACGCACTTACACACTCACACTCACTCACTCACTCACCCACTCACTCACCCACTCACACACTCACACACTCACTCACACACTCACTCACACACTCACTCACACACTCACACACTCACCCACTCACTCACTCACACACACACTCACCCGCTGAAGCACTCACCCACACACGCACTCACACACGCACTCACCCGCTCACTCACGCACTCACACACGCACTCACCCGCTCACTCACCCACTCACACACTCACCTGCTGAAGCACTCACCCACACACGCACTCACCCGCTCACTCACCCACTCACGCATTTACCCACTCACACACTCACCCGCTGAAGCACTCACCCGCTCACGCACTCACACACGCACTCACCCGCTCACTCACCCACTCACCCGCTCACTCACGCACTCACCCGCTCACACACTCACCCGCTCACTCACCCACTGACGCACTCACCCACTCACTCACCCGCTCACTCACCCACTCACTCACCCGCTCACTCACCCACACATGCACTCACCCGCTCACTTACCCACTCACGCACTCACCCGCTCAAGCACTCACCCGCTCATGCACTCACTCATGCACTCACTCACTCACCCACTCATGCACTTACCGGCTCACGCACTCAACTACTCACTCACACACTCGCTCGTGTACTTAAGCGCCCAATCATTCACGCACTCCCCACTCACTCACGCACTTACCCACTCACTCGCTCACCCACTCGCAATCCCTCTCACCCACTCACGCATTAAACGGCTCGCTTTGCTTCGCGAGCCGTTTTGTTCGTCCGCTGTGATGCTCGTCGTTTTGTTTTTGAGATTAAATGTCTCAACTCTTTCCTGGCCGCCCCTCCCCGTCTGTCTCTGCTGCCCTCTTTCATTTCAACCTCCTCTCTCTCGTCGTTCCATCGCAACCCTGTCACCCTTCACCTCTGCTGCGCTCTGCTCTCTGCCACACACGCTTGCTGCTCGTGACGACGCGCTTCCCTCCTCGCGGCGTGGATCCTGCACCCATTCCCCATTCCACCGCTCGAGCCGCAGCGGGTCGACCACCTAAACCCCCCTCCACTCCACCAAACTCCTCCACCTGCTCCTCTCATTCACACGCGGCCGCCTGCTGCTCACCTCGCCAACGCAACCGCTATTCCGCGTCTGTCGATCTCACCCTCGCCATAACCCTCACCGTGACCTTCGCCGTGACCCTCACTGTAACTCTCTCCCTTACCGTGACCCCAACCCGAACGCATGGCGCCTGGCTTGACAACTGCCACTCCCATCCCGACCGCGCCTCACCCCCCCGCTCGTCACCATCCACCACATTAACCACCCGGCACCACGCCCGCCACATCCCATCGTCCTCCCCGGCCCCTGCCGGCCCCCCCCGGCCCCCCAGGGTGTACTGAAAGCCGAATTGGTCGACTACCGGGAGGCGTCGGGGCTGCGCGAGTACCGCGCGGCGGCGGCGCGCTGCGACAAGAGCTCCGTGTGCAGTGTGCAGTGACGAACAAACTCGCTCGCTCGCTCACGTATGGGGCCACACACCCACACGCGCACACCACAGCCGCTGCTATTGCAGCAACGATGATGTGTGTGTGTAGTGTATGTATGTATGTTGAACTTCATTCGCACCGTACGTAGCCAACCGTGCTAGTCGTATGATGGTGGTGGTAGTGACGATGACAGTGATGGTGGTAGTGACGATGATTGTGATGATAATGACAATGTCTGTGGTTATGATGAAGATTAGGCGACGGTGACATTGATGATGATGGGGGTGACGATTGTGATAATGATGATGACAACAGTGATGAAGACTGGTGATTTAGATGATGTCATGAAAATGATTTTACGGCAATGATTATGACGATGTTCAAAATTGTGACAATGATGACTTATGACGGTGAATCATTCTCAACGCTGTTTCTCTGTTTGTTCACAGCGAGTGGTGAAAGCCGACATCATCAAAAGCGCCCCGGACTCCCCCGTGCGGGCCGTGAGCCAGCCCAAGAGCTCCGTGTGCGCCATCCACTAGACTCCACTCGGGGGGGGGGGTGGGGGGGGGGGGTGGGCATCGGTAGGATTGGTGGGAGTAGAGTTGGGTTACGACCAGCTTCATCTCATGGCTAATAAAACCCATGCAGTGTAATCGGCGTTGGCCAAACACCCCAATGCTGAAGAACTGCCGGCAAATTACTCAATTGGGATCACACACAGTAGCAACATCGCCCTCCTACTTTCGAAATTTGGCAGGGCCTTCCTGAGCCCGAGTTGTCTCGGTGAGGCTTCCTCGCTGGCCGTGTGGCTGCGGTGACTGAGGTTGCGAGAGCCAAATCTAGAACTAGAGCCAGTCCGTTGAGCTGGTTTCCTACGGGCGCCATCGTTCTCATGGCGCGCGCCGATCGTAGCGCAGCAAGGCGCCGCTGTGTTCCACGCGAGGCGCAGCCTGCACTGGCTCCACAGCAGGGGGGTGATGCTGCTGCTGCTGCTGTGTTATCCCGATTGAGTAATTTGTAAATGTAGTCCATGTCGCAGGCAAACAATAGCCCACTCTTACCAACGACGTCACGGGATCTGTAAATGTCGTCTGTGAAGCAGACGGCACGTAGTATTGTATGGTTAAAGCGCACCACCAGCACCAGCACCACCAGCAGCAGCAGCACCAGCACCACCAGCAGCAGCAGCACCGCAGTAATAGCTGGGGCAGCCGGAGCCGCGACTAAGACACGGCCACAGCGCCGCTCCTCCCCCCACCAATCTCCGCGGGTGAAGAGAGAGAGATTCTGTCGTCGCCGCAGCGTATTCTCCGGATGGTAACGCATCTCACATTCCCCCTTCGCACTTCAAAGGTTGGAGGTCCACCTTATACCCCAGTAGGTGGGCCGTGCGTGCGCATCAGCGTCGGGGAGACAAAGGCGGCTGGGCGTAGTGCAGACCACGCCCCGCACCCTCTTGCGCTGTGCCGGCCTTCGTAGGCGCTCGGTGAAGGCACTTGCCCCAACAGTCTTTGTCACCAGCTCTGTGTAACTTTATTGGCACCCGGCACAAATGTGGTGGGGGTCTCAGCCGGCAGCGCAGCGCCCCCCAGCCGGCGCCTTCCAGGTGGTGGCACCGTGAGACCATTCGGGATTCTGACCGCCCGTGGTTATTAATTTGATTGTTCCACATTGATAGTGTTTTAGTAACGTTGTCGGCATGCGATCAGGGTTCTTGATTCTGTCACCACGCCGAGTTGGGCGTCGGGTTCCTGAGATTTACCGTGCGAGGCAACTGACCGCCCGGCACCAGCAGTCGACGCATCTAAAATAGTCGCCGCACAACCACGGCCTCTCCACTGCTGGACGAAGGCCTCCCCACGCCGCTCTCGCCCACCTCCCCACGCCGCTCTCGCCCACCTCCCCACGCCGCTCTCGCCCACCTCCCCACGCCGCTCTCGCCCACCTCCCCACGCCGCTCTCGCCCACCTCCCCACGCCGCCGAGCGCTCACTCGGCCTGGCTGGGCCAGGCACCCCGAGCCCCCCCCCCCCCCCTCCCGGCGTGTCGCCGCAGTCCATGGGCTAGGACCAAAAATTAGAAGCTCCGGGGTCATAAACCCAGTCCTCTCTTCTCATTTCTTGGCGGAAATTCCACATTCCCATGGTGAGGACCAGTATAATCCACAGGACCGTCACTGCTGGAGCTCTGGCAATGTAGTACGAGGTTTACAGACCCTGAGCGAGTGTGATGGGCTGAGTGGGGCGTTGGCAGGGAGGACGCGGCTTGGCAGCGCACGAGGGACCCCGTCGCTCCCGAGGTCGCCTGCAACTGCTTGCGGTGACGTCGACACACGGGCAACTCGGTTTCCAGCATCCGAGTTGCGGGTGATTGTACTCTTAACGGGCTGTGCAACTGGTCGCATAGACGTCAACGTACAGTGCGCACGGTTCGGTTGCGTGCAACCGAATTGCATATCGGACCCCTCTGGTGCGACACCGTGGTGACACCACCACGACACCGTGGTGACACCACCACGACACCGTGGTGACGGTACCACGGTCGTCGCGCCCCGAGTGTCTGTCGGGGTCGCGTAGCGCGCCTCGTGGCACGCAGTGCGCGGCTGCCTGGAGAGAGCAGTCGATGGGAACTCGCGCGGTTCTACGGGGGAGTTGTGGGTGGGCGTGAGAATCTCCACGGAACGGCGAAGAATCGGATCGCTGACTGGGAAGAGTCGCGTGCACACACGCGTCTGTGTGTGTGTGTACACACGCGTGTCTGTGTCTGTACACACACACACGTGTGTCTGTGTGTGTGTGCACACACGCGTGTCAGTGTGTGTACACACGCGTGTGTCTGTGTACTCGAGTTCGTGTCAACAGGTAACACGCAAGTGTATATATCTTATAGTTTCGCATTCAAATAAAAGACAATGGACTTGTTTTATTCATGAAACGAAATGCCCAAGGGATTTAATGTCCGCTCGCACAATCACACAGATACACAATTACACAGCTACACAATTACATAAACAATCACACAGATACACAATTACATAAACAATTACCCACCCCCATAAGAGTTTTTTTTGGGTTAGATCGCGTAAAAAAAAATCTGCATTATGGACATTTCCACTCGCAGACAAACCTACAGTCCAAGAGTCTCGAGACGAAGTGTTGTGGATTCTCGTTGATGCTGCGGGGAGTGGGTCGATGTGGCGGGGGGCGTGTGGGGGGGGGGGGGTATCGCCTCGCTGGAGTCTCAATCTCCACGCGGACTTGAAAGGCGCTTTCACACAGCGGGTGGTGATGCGGATGCATGGAGTGGACGGACGTTAAAAGCCTCGCGGTGATGGGGCAAGTGCTGTGAGCGAATAGCACCTGAATTTGCGAGAACGACGGCCGGGCCGCCTTTAACTCCCGAGCGCTGAAGTATTACACACCGCACCAGGTACTTATTTATGGCTGAGTCGACCTAGGGGAGGCCCAAGACCGGTCACTAGTATTGGCCGTGAGCGGGAATCTAACTTGGGTTGCCGGGTTAGTAGCGCAGTTCTTATTAACCACTGCACCAACGCTCCCCACACTCTCACACGCCCTGTACACACCTGTACACACACCCATACACCTGTGCACACCCTCTCTTGTCACACCTGTACACACACCCTCGTCACACCTGTGCACACCCTCTCTTCACACCTGTGCACACCCATACACCTGTACACACCTCTTGTCACACCTGTGTACACACACCCTCTTCACACCTGTACACACACCCTCTCGTCACAGCTGTGCACACCTTCGTCACACCTGTGTACACACCCTCTCGTCACACCTGTGCACACCCATACACCTGTACACACCTCTTGTCACACCTGCACACACACCCTCTTCACACCTGTCTACACACCCCTCGTCACACCTGTGCTCACATCCTGTCGTCACACCTGTGTACACACACACTCTCATCACACCTGTTCACACCCCCTCGTCACACCTGTAGACACACCCTCTCATCACACCTGTAGACACACCCTCTCATCACACCTGTGTACACACACCCCCTCGTCACACCTGTAGACACACCCTCTCGTCACACCTGTACACACACCCCCTCGTCACACCTGTAGACATACCCCCTCGTCACACCTGTACACACACCCCCTCGTCACACCTATAGACACACCCTCTCGTCACACCTGTACACACACCCTCGTCACACCTGTACACACCCTCTCGTCACACCTGTACACACACCCTCTCGTCACACCTGTGTACACACCCTCGTCACACCTGTACACACACCCTCGTCACACTTGTCTACACACACACCCTCGTCACACCCTCTCGTCACACCTGTACACACACACTCTCTCGTCACACCTGTACACACCCTCTCGTCACACCTGTACACACACACTCTCTCGTCACACCTGCACATACACCCTCGTCACACTTGTCTACACACACACCCTCGTCACACCTGTACACACACACTCGTCACACCTGTACACACACACTCTCTCGTCACACCTGCACATACACCCTCGTCACACCTGTGTACACACACTCTCTTCACACCTGTGCTCACACCCTCTCGTCACACCTGTGTACACACACTCTCTTCACACCTGTGCTCACACCCTCTCGTCACACCTGTGTACACACACTCTCGTCACACCTGCACATACACACCCTCGTCACACCTGTACACACCCTCGTAACACCTGTCTACACACACCCTCTCGTCACACCTGCACATACACCCTCGTCACACCTGTACACACCCTCTCGTCACACCTGTGCTCTCCCAGGTAAATCCACTCGGCCTCGTGAGGCTTCGTGGAGGCGAGAGGTGTCTCCGCAAAGGCGCTGCTGAGACGGTCTGTCTGTGTTTGTCTTTGCGTGTGAGCGGCAGCGTAGCGATGAGCTCGCTGGATGCTCGCGGCCAACACCGGTGACGAGTATCGGTCCTGGGCCTCCTCTAGGTCGATTCAGTCTCAAATGAGTACCTGGTGCGGTGTAAACATCACCACGCGGGAGACAAAGGCGGCCGGGCGTGGTGCTAGCCCCCCACCCCCTCGTGTGCCGTGCCGGCACTCATCGGTGCTGCTCGCTAACAGCACTTGTCCCAACAGCCTGTTCAGGCTACACGGGGGATCTTTGTCTTGCGGTGTGTTTGCTTTGCCGAATTCGGAGGCAGGTTCTTGACTAAGCGGCGCCTCCTCGTGCTGCCACAGCTGCCTCTCCACTCGGAACAATGCGCGGGCACGACGAGCATTGACTGTCTCACTCATCCAGCCAGCCACGACGCCTCCTCGCAGTGCATCGTATCCGCAGTGTGTGTGTATGTGTGTGTGTGTCTGTGTGTATGTATGTGGTGTGTATGTGTGTGTGGTGTGTGTATGTGTGTGTGTGTATATGTGTGTATATGTGTGTGTGTGAGTGTATGTGTGTGTATGTATGTGTGGTGTGTGTCTGTGTGTGTCTGTGTGTATGTGTGTGTCTGTGTATGTGTGAGTATGTGTGTGTGAGTATGTGTGTATGTGTGTGTGTGGCCAATTGTCTCGTGACAAGTCAGTGGAACCCATGCTGGGGAACTGCCAGATGTTTGTTTCATGTTTAATTGTCAACGTGGGGTTACCATCCAACACACAAGCAGTGTGCTGAATTACTAACGAACTGGCACGTTTACGTGACAAACCTTACTAATTGGCCGTGTCAGGTGGTGGTGGCGGGTGATAACGACACATTCATATTGACGCTCTCGAACCCAAAAACCTCCGAAGTGTCCCAGATAGTTTTCGGGCCTTTCGGTAAAGCCACGTAGATTTGTTTTCTATCGACGTGCCTTTGCCGAAAGACCCAAATCATATGAATTCCTGCAGTCACGAAAGCTTCAAGTCAAGATGTGTATCCCAAGAGGAGGCTGAGGCCACCGTGTTGTGTAATCCTGCGACGACGGCGGCGTCCACGCGCGCGCCGCAGGCTTCGTGGCATCGCCTCGACCGCCGGGAGGAGCCGGCGGGCGCGAGCGGCACGATGGGCGAGCACAGCCACGGAGCGGCAGCCAAGGGGCGGAGCGCGTCCAGGAGGCAGAACCCTTCACGTGGGGAGGGGGTGTGGGGCCCCCCAGCGCCTTCAAACTAAAACGGAAGTATGACATCAAACGCCGTGACGCTGAAGCGCCCCCCCCCCCGCCTCGAAGGAGCGGGGCCCGGGGCGCCCGTCCCGATTCGCCATCTCCCGGGGACAGCGCATCGTCGCGTCGCAAGATCGGGAGAGGCGGCGGCGGCGGTTTTGGGGGGTGGAGGGCGGCCTTCATCTGGCTGCGGGTTGACCAGTACTGCTGGATGATGAATATTATCACCACAAAAGGGAATCATCAGAACGGTTTTATTTTCCCGGGACAGCCTCTTTGTGGTGAGGGCGCTGCCACGTTGGGATGCTGGGCTCCATGGGGATCGGTCACGAACCAACCCGGCGAGGCGCGCGGTGAATCGAGCTGCGTTCATCCCCCAAGCCCCCACCCCCCGGGGAGTGGGGGAGGGGCTGCTCCCAAAATTGGGCCCCGATCTTCAGACGTCGCGGCTGAGCGCGGCGCGAGGCTTCATCCATCGGGATACCTTCAGACTCAACATCACTACCATCACCAACATCACTACCATCGCCAACATCACTACCACCACGATCAACACATCAGCATAATCACTATCACCGTCATCAGGACCACCAGCCACATCACCACCATTTGCCCGGATTGTTTGCTAAAGGCGACACAGGGGGGTGGGGATCGTTGTGTTTGTTCGAGCGCGAGTGAGTGAGTGACGCGAGTGAGTGATGCGAGTGTTTAGGCTGAAGGCGTCAGCGCGAGACGAGAGCGAGTGACGAGGCCTGCATCAACAACAGCAGCAGCATCAGCACGTGGCGATCAGCCAAATACACAGACTCGTACACACACTCACGCACAGACACACACTCACGTACACACACGCACAGACACACACGTACACACACACGTACACACACTCACGCACAGACGTGAACACAAGTGCACCACCGCAACCGCCACGTGGTGGTGACGTCACCACGGCGCTGGTGCCATGCTCGGTGCACTCGGAGGCCACGCGAAGCGTCGAAGGCTCCCTGGCAGTTCACGGGACAGACCCAGGTGCCATTGGCTGAACGAGATGGCTGGCAGGTGCACCACCTGGGTCCCCTCCCGTGCCAACTTGCTGCATTCAGCCGCCCGCTCGATCCGCTGCTGGACGAAGCCGCCGCCACCACCGCCGAGACTTCATCGCAGGCCAAGTTCGGGTCCAGCGGCCACCGCGCCCGCCCTCGGCGAGCCGCGCTCCTCCTGAGCAGCATCGCGACGCGACACGCCACACGCGCCCGACACTGCCGACGAGTCCCAGTGACATCGAACGCTCACGAGCCCACGGTGAACACCGATTCCACGCCTTGCTGGTGACAGCCGAGCAATGCGGAACTCGCCCTGCGGACTTCACGAACTCAAAGCGCTCCACCGAGCCGGGCGACGCCGCAAGGCGCCTCTCTCCGATGAGCGCACAGCCAGTCGCACGATCACCCTCCGGGTCTCAATCCGTTTATTGGGCCGGGCCACGTCTCTGCCGCAGGTCCCTCCACCACCCGGCACGGCCACACGAACCGAATTACCGCTCGCAAGGGACGCTCCGCGCGGGGATCCCGGAACTATTCTCACGACCGGCCTCTCCCTCTAAAACCCATTACCACTTCGTCAATACAACGAGCAGCGTGGTAGAGCATCGCTCTGCCAAAACTCAGGTGCGGAGTCCTTTGTAAGTCGTCTCAGGACCCCTGATAAGGAGGGCCACGTCTGCTCGTGGATATTTGGTTTCGAATTTTGTTATTTAAAGTCGCGGGCGGCGGTCGGAGAGTGCCCGGATCCCACGAGGAGTCGTCGGGGGCGGGGGGGGCACAGCTCGGGACAGCGGCCACTCCGAGCCGAGCGGCGGCGGCCACGGCAACATCCGCGGCACCCCGCGTCTCCTCGCAGCCCCGCGTCTCTCCAGACGCAATCACCAGACAAGGCCACCATGAAGACTCCGCCAATACAAAGATCCCCCATGTAGCCTTAACAGGCTGTTGGGGCAAGTGCTGTTCGCGAGCAGCGCCTGTGAAGGATGGCACTGCGCACTCGGGGTGGGTGACGACAGCACCACGCCCGGCCGCCTTTGTCTCTCCAGTGCCAATGTTGACACACCGCACCAGGTACTACTAATTTAAGGCCGAGTCTACCCGGGGAGGCCCAGAACCAGTTCAGACAATTGCCACTGGTGTTGGACGTGAGCAGGATTCGAACTCGGGTTGTTGTTCGTAGCGCAGCGCGCGAACCGCCAGACTCCCACTCCCCACACAAAGGACGTACACAGAGACACGCACAGAGACACACACTGGCACACACAGACACACACTGGCACACACAGAGACACGCACAGAGACACGCACACTGGCACACACACAGAGACACACACAGAGACACGCACAGAGACACGCACAGAGACACACACATGGCACACACACTGGCACACACACTGAGACACACTGGCACACACAGAGACACGCACAGAGACACGCACACTGGCACACACACAGAGACACACACTGGCACACACACAGAGACACACACAGAGACACACACTGGCACACACACAGAGACACACACAGAGACACAGACTGGCACACGCACAGAGACACGCACAGAGACACGCACACTGGCACACACACAGAGACACACACAGAGACACGCACACTGGCACACACACAGAGACACACACTGGCACACACACAGAGACACACACAGAGACACGCACACTGGCACACACAGAGACACACACAGAGACACGCACACTGGCACACACACAGAGACACACAGAGACACGCACAGAGACACACACACAGACACGCACACTGGCACACACACAGAGACACACACACTGGCACACACACAGAGACACGCACACTGGCACACACACAGAGACACGCACACTGGCACACACACAGAGACACACACACTGGCACACACACAGAGACACACACACTGGCACACACACAGAGACACACACACTGGCACACACACAGAGACACACACACTGGCACACACACAGAGACACGCACAGAGACACACACAGAGACACACACACTGGCACACACACAGACACGCACACTGGCACACACAGAGACACACACAGAGACACGCACACTGGCACACACACAGAGACACACACACAGAGACACGCACACTGGCACACGCACAGAGACACACACAGAGACACGCACAGAGACACACACACAGAGACACACACACTGGCACACACACAGAGACACACACACAGAGACACGCACACTGACACACACACAGAGACACGCACACTGGCACACACACAGAGACACACACACTGGCACACACACAGAGACACACACACTGGCACACACAGAGACACACACACAGAGACACACACACACTGGCACACGCACACTGGCACACACACAGAGACACGCACAGAGACACACACACTGGCACACACAGAGACACGCACACTGGCACACACAGAGACACACACACAGAGACACGCACACTGGCACACACACAGAGACACACACACACAGAGACACGCACACTGGCACACGCACAGAGACACACACAGACACGCACAGAGACACACACACAGAGACACACACACTGGCACACACACAGAGACACACACAGAGACACACACACTGGCACACACACAGAGACACACACACAGAGACACACACACAGAGACACACACAGAGACACACACACAGAGACACACACACTGAGACACGCACAGAGACACAAACTGGCACACACACAGAGACACACACACTGGCACACACACAGACACACACAGAGACACACACTGGCACACACACAGAGACACACACACAGAGACACACACACAGAGACACACACACTGGCACACACACAGAGACACACACACAGAGACACGCACAGAGACACGCACAGAGACACACACACACTGGCACACACACAGAGACACACACAGAGACACGCACACTGGCACACACACGGGCTAAGGTGTCAAATCTTACATATTCAAACAAAATGCTCCGAAAACATCGACTTAAAACGCCGAGTGCGTCGTTAAACGCCCTCGCGGTTGTGCGCGTCACAGCTCAGCAAACTGAGAGCCCCCCCCTCCCTCTACATTTGTGGTTCTGCGTCCCCGACCCCAGCAGGGTTAGAGGTCAGGGCCAGGGTTAGAGGTCAGGGCCAGGGTTAGAGGTCAGGGGCAGGGTTAAAGTCATGATACGGGTCGACCCATGGTTAAAGCTTGGGTCGGCCTCAGTCAGGGGTCAGGGCGTGGAGTCAGGGTCAGCAGGTTTGACTCGTGGCTGTAATCAGAGTCCATGTGCAGGCTACAGTCGGCGTGAGCAGTCGGGTTACACTGGGGGTTGGGCGAGGGCGAGAGTTCGGGGTGAGGGTGAAGTTTTGATGAGGGTTGGGGTTCGGGTCAGGCCTGCTCCTGTCCGAGCAGGATTTAGGATAACATTTCCGGTGAGGCTCAATTTGTGCGTTGTTGTGTACATTGTTGTGGTTGTTGTGTTTGTTGTGTACGTTGTGTACATTGTTGTGGTTGTTGTTTGTTGTGTACGTTGTTGTGGTTGTTGTGTTTGTTGAGTACATTGTTGCTTGTCGTGTCTGTTGCTGTGTACTTTGTGTACGTTGTGTAAGTTGTGTACGTTATGTGTTATGTAAGTTGTTGTGTACTTTGTATGTTGTGTCCACCATGTGCGCTCATTAAATGAGTTTAGGAAATCATCCCAAACAATAACGACATCATCCTTGAGTACAGCTCCATGACTATCATCATCACTACGGGGTTATAGTAGTGGTAGTTACGTAGTAGTAGTAGTACATGTGTTTCATTGTGAATAAACATACCAGTCATAGTTGATGTTGGGTTAGGCCACCACTTAATTATCTGGTCACATTTGTGTCATAAGACGCTCCACCACCCGACAGCCAAACAAATGGGAGTGCCGCGTGCCCGAGCGTTGTCACGGCGTGCCGGCCACGTGAACGCTCGCGCACCAAGCAGCTTTGCTTATCAGTGTCAGGCGATCAACGGTCTCACCACACAAATCTGGCCAGATCGTTGCGTGGCCTCAGCCAAAACTCAATTACGATTTGTAACATTGGCTGAGGAAACCCACGAATTTAGATATTTGGGCTTTTTCAACTTACGCAAAACAAATAATAAAAAGCAGTCTTAAAGTTGTAAGTTTTGGAGGCACGAGCCGACAGCAGCCAGCTCTTCTCTCTTGCAGCGACGCACCCAGGAGGCGCCCCACGGCAGATCCACGAGCACAGCGAGCGGTGCACAGGGCCCCTCGGTCGCAGTCCACTGCCGGGCTAGAGCCGTACTTCACCAGGTTGGTCGGCGTGGGCTGGTGAAGGAGCGGGAGAGAGGTTCATGTAAACCAGTCGCCACTGTCGGGAGCCGTGGGCTGGGAATCGAACTCTGGTCGCCGGGCTCGTAGCGCTACACGCTAACCGCTGTACCACCGCTCCACCAGGAGACGGTGACAAACATCGCGCACCCGTCACAGCCAAAAGAACCACCGCTACCACAGTCACAACCACCAGAACCACCGCGACCACAGCCACAACCGCCCGCAAAGTCACCCAGACCCGGCCACGCGTGACGCCGCGATCGCAGCCTCCGGCAGCGACCGCAGGCGGCACGGAGAACCGGTCTGGCCCGGCGACTCCTCGTCGCCCGCGCCGCTCAGTGCTCGCTGAGGGAGTGCTTGAAGAACTCGTAGACCGACCACGCGATGGCGGTGGACGGCATCTGGTAGAGCACGCGCGCCTGCGTGCCGCGGAAGAACGCCGGCAGCCCCCCGTGCCGGTACACCGTGCGAAACGCCATGGCCAGCCCGGTGAGGTAGCGCGGCGGGCGGCAGTGCTGCTGCTGCTGCTGCTGCTGCCGCGCCGCGCTCCCGGCGCGCAACGTCGCGCCCCCCGCGGCGCCGGGAGCTCTCGTCGGCTGCGGCGCCGGGCGCTCCCCGGAGCGGTAGGCGCGGAGCGGCGTCGCTTGCGTCGCCTGCTGCTGCAGGTGTCCGGCGCCTACGCCCAGCAGGGCGCTCAGCCCGGCGCCTCCCGGCGGCGCCGCCGGGACGGCCGGCGCCGGACCTCCGGCCGGGACGGCGGTGGCCGCGGCGGCCGCGGCGGCCGCAGTCCTCGCCGCCAGCGTCGCGAGCGGCTGGCGGGTCGGCCCGGCGGCCGCCGACGGCGCTGGCTGCTGCTGCTGCCGCTTCCCGGCCGCGGCCGCCGCGCCGTAGGCGGCGGCGCGGCAGCCCTCGGCGGCGCTGGCGGCCGACGAGAGGCCGGCGCAGGCCCCGGCTCCGGCCACGCCCATCTCCACGAGCGCCATCTCCTGCGTGTTGAGCAGCGTCTTGCAGACGTCGAGCGGCGTGGTGAGCGCCGCGGCCAGGCCGCCCGCCACGGCCCCCGACGCGACGTGCGAGCCGGGGCTGTAGGCACGCCGCGGGTTCAGGCGCTCCTGGCATGCCTCGTAGGCCACGAAGTGCAGGCTCTGGAAGGGCAGGTTGAGCGCCAGCTGCGTGGGGTAGCTGCGGTAGAAGGCCGCCAGGCCCTCGGAGCGCAGTATGCGGCGCGCGCACTCCAGGGCGCCGCCGTAGGGGGAGTTGTACATCTGCAGACGCTGCTTCACCACTGGGGGGGGGGGGGCACGGGCACGGGGGGTCGGCACGCGGCGTTATGGGAGCCGAGGTCGAGGTGGTTTACGTAGTCGCATTTCGAAACGACGTCTACGCCAGGCTTGATCATGAATACCATGGAGTTGAATTCACGAGTCAACATTTCATTGAGTGCAGAGGGCACGGAGAGGAGTCAAGCCAGGCCTGCCAGGCAGTGGAGGCAGCCACCTGACACATTCTCCCACAAAGACAAAGATCCACTGTGTAGCCTTAACAGACTGTTGGGGCAAGTGCTGTGAGCGAGCAACCTATGAAGGCCGGCACGGCACATGAGGGGATGGGTGGTCAGTACTATGCCCGGCCGCCTTTGTCTCTCCAGTGGCGATGTTTACACACCGCACCAGGATCGGTTCCGATATTCATCAGCGATATTGGCCATAAGCGGGAATCAAACGTTAGGTTGGTAGCTCAGTGCACTAACCACTGCGCCACCAATCTCGACTGACACATTCTCCCACAGATACACACGGAGACGTGCACACAGATAGGCACGCACAAGTACTCGCACAGACACACAAACAGTTGCTTTCATATATTCTCTCTCTGACATGGGAACACACTGACGCGCTTCCACACTCGCACACAAAGACCACCCGAAAAGCCTCAACAGACATTGGGGCAGGTGCTGTTAGCAAGCACGAGGGGGTGGCCTGCACCAAACCAGCCGCCTTTGTCTCCCCAGTGTGGATGTTTAAACACTGCACCAGGTACTCATTTGAGGCCGAGTCGACCTATGACACAATGACACGCACACTCGCGCACCTCTGCACGATAGCGTGCGGCGTGGCCACGGCACAAAGGGGCGTGAGGAGGAGGTGGGGACGGCGGCGGCAGCCCCCCCACACACAAAGCCACGGCCGGCAGGCCCACAATGGGCAATGCCGGCACAGCCCCCGCCACTCCGTGTGACCCCGGCGCCCTCTCCCACACCTCGGCACGGGCACCTGGTGGTCCCCTCCCCCCCCTCCGCTAACGAGCTGGGCAAGCGAGAGAGAGAGCGAGCGAGCGGGTGCACTGTGAGGCATCGTCCGAGCGTTTCAAAACACTCGCTCACGGAGCATTCACCAGCAACGCTCAGAGACGAGGAGGGGGCCACGGGGGGGGGGGGGGGGGGGGCCCGGGGTGGGGGCGGGGCGGGGGGCAGATGTGTGCGGCTGTGGGCGAGTTAAACAGACGGGAGAGAGAGGGAGAGAGAGGGTGGGGAAGAGAGGATGGGAATTTGTGGGATGGTGGGAGAGGAGGTGGGCGATGGGGGGGGGGGGGCGACAAAGATGATTGTGTTTTTGTGACGCGCGATGAAATCTCGAGAGAGGAGCGAAGAGGAGGAGGAAGTGAGAAGCAAAACAACGGACGAGAGACGCATCCGCCGACGCACGCACACGCACACACGCACGTAGTTGTGATTGTGCCCACAGACGTGTGTCGTACAGACACATGAAGAACAGCCCGGAGCCCTGGCCTGCTGATGGTATGATAGGCCTTGACGAGGTCAATAAAGCAGAGATGTAGGTTCTGTTAGAATTCCCCACACCTCTGGTGTAGCAGACAGACAGAGAATATGGTCTAAAACCACATCGGGCGTTCTGAAAGCCTCCACTCAGCGTGCCTGGCAAGGAGATGTTGAATAATCCTGAACAGGACCTCAGACTGAGAAGGAGTTGTTGCAATCAGAGACGACCACTTCTTAAAAATGGGGACCCACAATGGCATCCTTTCAATCCTGTCGACCAGCCGATTGTAATTCTGTAATGTAGGGCAGCCTGCACACAATCACCATCCTGTCAGCAGTCCGCTTGAGAGGTCATCTCTGCCTGGCGCATCGCCTTTTGCACTTTCTAAACAGATGGCACATCAACCAACCACTCACTGGGAGCGGCTACTTCCTTCAGTGATAGCTGTGGTGCTGTCAGTTTTTTGATAGAATTAAAGAGTAATTTGTGATTGCGTGCGACCGAGGCAGTTTCCATCTCTTCAGAAACCCGCGACCACCACTCATCCTTGCAGCACCGCATCGTTCTACCGAACCTCTAAGCAAAGGCTACAACAATCCTCCCTCATTCTCGGACGTGGGATGCTGTAGAGGGTGAGAGCGGACCTGTCACTTTCTCTCAGCTCGCCTGAACACCTCCATCAGCCACGGTCTCTGGGGAGGTCTGGACTGCGCACCCAAAGCAGCCCTTGCAGCTGCAGGAGTCGCGGTCCTGGACATGGCCCATTTCCCTTCGGCATCGGGAGGAGAGGGAGGCGATGCCAACCCCAGCTGCAAACGATGATGATATTCTCGCTTGCAACTTCTATTAGCTAACAGAGACCAGGCGCTTTTTGGGCTTGAATGGGGTCTGAGGTGGACGCTCATCACCGCAGGGGAAGAATGGCAGGCGCGTCTTGCAGATGACAAGCCGATGGTGAGTGGGCAGATCGGTTGCACAAATACGTACACGTGCACATACACATGCGCAACCCCAGACCCATACAAGACACAAACACGGGCAGCGCAAACACAAACAACCAACTCGGACAAATACCCGCACACGCACCACGCACGTGTGCACGCATTCACGCTCAAACACGCGCGCAACAACATACGCCAAACACTTCACTCCACCAGCGAGGGGTGACAAACCCACCCACCCACCCCCTCACCCACCGACCCTCTTAGTGACTCATTCAATAGCTCACCCACTCCCTCACTCAGCTACTCAATCACCCTCTACCTAACTCATCCAACTCACCCACCCACTCCCCCCCCCTCACTACTTTAATCCATCTCTTCAATCGCTCCCTCAAATGAGTTCTCTTCATACGAGTAATTGTTTCGCAGATAATTGGTTCCATGAATGGAGATGGTCCTCCCCTTCCCGCAAGCTGGGCAGACGCATGTGGACTTTATTTTAAATAAGCCACACGTGCCAGATTCTATCCAATCACAGAAGGCTGTGAACAGCAAGTTACCAACTCAAAACTGATGTTTGGGTCTGGCCATGTAATGATGTGGCCACATTTGTGTCATGTAACCCTCCACCACCCGACACAGCCAAACAAACGACGATGTCACGGGGTGTTGTCACGCCGACTGTTGCAGCTCACTTACCGGTAAAGTTGAGGAATAATTCTCACCAACAGATTTAGCGACGAGAATCCAGAAATACCAACAATCAATTACGCATCGTAACAATGGTCACCAAAACTGACGTGTACAGTTAGGAAGTCACTGTCAATAAGACACACGTGACAGATTCCGTCCAATCGCAGGCAGGTATAACCGGCGCGCTACCGTAACAACAACGCGTTCCACAACGCGCAACGGCAGCGACGGTTTCTCGGCCGCACGGCAATGCCGCCCCTCCCCGCCCCGCAAGGACACCGCACGGAGACAAATCACGGCGGACGGCAGTGACGGCGGTGACGAAGATTCAAAGATGACGAGGCCAGACGGAGCCTAACGACCGGCGCGGCCTTGACCTTGCCAGCGGGTCACGCTAACGAGCTCGCCACTCAGCTGCCTGACCCCCCCCCCGCCCCACGACACGAGCGCTACTTAACGCGTCGCTATTTTGCTTCTCGGCTGTTTGATGAACTCTCCGCCGCGCCGGCGGCCAGCTGTCTCCGCTGCCGATGGGGAAGATGAAAGAATGGTGAAGGAGCGGAAACGTTCCGTCTCTCGGCGGCGCCGCCCGCCAGCACCGAGCGCGATGCTGGCGGGCGGCGATCGAGGAGTCCCAGAACTTCACTCACGGAGTCCGAGAACTTCACTCACGGACTCCTCCTCCACTCGAGCCGACGACTCGGCCGACCGGACTTGTGCACGCTCATCAACCACCAGCGCCACCACCAGCGCCACCACCAGCGCCACCACATTGCAGGGCACAACAACTCACCCGCTCACTCACCACATTGCAGATCACCTCCCTTCTCTCTCTGATTATTCCCTCGCACTGTTCCACTCCCATCATCATCATCATCAGCGCCGTCTCTTTTCCTCCCAAGCTCTTGTAACAACAACCTTGCTCAATGTAATCGAGGCGTTGACTATTATACCATCAACACCTTTGACAGTGCTGTTTGTTGCTGGCCACTTGCCGTTGTCGCCCAATGCCTGGCGACCGTGTTTATTTAAATAAGGAATCTGATGAGAGGGAGGGAGGGAGGAGGAGGAAGCTGGGGAGGCCGTGTTGTGAAACGAGAGCGGAGCGACAGCGTGAGACGTGATGACTCAATCACCGCGGTGGTAGCGGTGGGGGTGGGGTGGTGAATGCGGCGGTGGTGGTGGTGGTGATGGTGGTGGTGACGGTGGTGGTGACGGTGGTGTTGATGGTAATGGTGGTGGTGACGGTGGTGGTGATGGTAATGGTGGTCGTGACGGTGGTGGTGGTGGTGGTGATGTTGACGTTGGTGGTGGCGGTGAAGGTGGTGGCGACGGTGGTGAAGGTGACCATAGCAGGGCTCGCGGGGGTCCTGTCGATCGTGGAGCTCGGACGCTCGGACAAGAAAACCAACAAAGCCCGCCGATGGCAACGTCAACGTGCGGGAGCGGTGAGGTGCACGCCGGCAGAGATGACTCAGTGGGTCTCTATGCAAGTCGATGCGTCTCTATGCAAGTCAATGAATCTCTGTGCGGCTGCGTTACCTTCGGCTGGGTTCATGGTGGCATCGTGCAGCAGCGTCGCGGCACAGCCTGCAAGACCTGCCAGGGTCAAGGGTCAAGGGGCAGAGGGCACCGGGTTAAATTGCCAGCGTGCAGCAGAAACGAACACAAACACACACACAGAGGCACAGACGTGGATCGACACACTCACACACGAACACAAAGAGAAACATTCACAGGCAAAATACAGCCACACAAACACAACAACAAAGATCCCCCGTGTAGCCTTAACAGACTTTTGGGGCAAGTGCTGTTAGCGGAGTAGCACCTATGAAGGCCGGTATGGCACGCGAGGAGGTGGGTGGCTAGGCACCACGCCCGGCCGCCCTTGTCTCCCAAGTGGTGATGTTTACTCACCGCACCAGGTACTCAATTGAGGCCGAGTTGACCTAGGGGAGGCCCAGGACCAGTTCAGATAATTGTCACCGGTCTTGACCGTGAGCGGAAATCGAACTCGGTTTGCCAAGTTCGTAGTGCGGCGTGCTAACCGCTGCACTACACACACCCACACACCCACACACACACCCACACTCCCAACCACACACCCACCCACCCACACACCCACACACCCACCCACACACCCACCCACACACCCACACACCCACCCACACACCCACCCACACACCCACACACCCACCCACACACCCACACACACACCCCCACCCACACACCCACACACCCACCCACACACCCACCCACACACCCACACACCCACCCACACACCCACACACCCACCCACACACCCACCCACACACCCACACACCCACCCACGCACCCACACACCCACCCACCCACCCACACACCCACCCACCCACCCACACACACCACCCACACACCCACCCACACACCCACCCACCCACACACCCACCCACACACCCACCCACACACCCACACACCCACCCACACACCCACCCACCCACACACCCACCCACCCACCCACCCACACACCCACCCACCCACCCACACACCCACCCACACACCCACCCACACACCCACCGACCCACCCACACACCCACCGACCCACCCACACACCCACCCACACACACACCCACACACCCACACACCCACACACCCACACACCCACCCACACACCCACCCACCCACCCACCCACACACCCACCCACACACCCACCCACACACCCACCCACACACCCACCCACACACCCACCCACCCACACACCCACCCACACACCCACACACCCACCCACACACCCACCCACACACCCACCCACACACCCACACACACACCCACCCACACACCCACCCACACACCCACCCACACACCCACCCACACACCCACCCACACACCCACCCACACACCCACCCACACCCACCCACCCACCCACCCACACACCCACACACCCACACACCCACACACCCACCCACCCACCCACACACCCACCCACACACCCACCCACCCACCCACACACCCACCCACACACCCACACACCCACACACACACCCACCCACCCACACACCCACCCACACACCCACACACCCACCCACACACCCACCCACACACCCACCCACACACCCACACACCCACACACCCACCCACACACCCACACACCCACCCACCCGTTGCATATCGCACACAGCACACGCCTCGAGAGTGAACACCGCAGCCCAACACAGGCGCCGCCGACACGGGGAGGCGAGGCGCGGCCCGGAGCGCGGGGCCACAGCGACCCCTGGTGGCCACTCCCCGCGCCGCCACTCCCCCCCCGCCGCCCTCACCTCCTCCGGCGACGCTCTTGGTGCCGCCTGCAACTTGTCCGCGGGGGCTCATTGCTACTGCGCCACCGCTCCGCAATGTCCAGCGCAGTCGGCGGTGTTGGTGCACGAGCACAGCCAACGACTCAACGCGACCCGTGTCAGTAGCAACACCGCTGTGTGTGGGGGGGCTTATAAGCAAAACAAATAAAAGGGCAGCGTTGTGGGCAAGGCCCCCTGCCACTAACGTCGCCTATCACTGCATTGCGTTGAAGGCCATATTGATATTGACACGGAGCGCAGTCGCAACTTGTCTCGAGTTTCTCCATAACCAGAGAGCGCCGTGGGCACCGTCCCGGCGCAGCGGCGAACTTCAACCCCGAGTGCACAACCGGCCACCGATTCTCAACACCGTTACCGCTTCACACCAGCTCATACCGGTTTGGCGGTATACACTGGTTAGTAGTTTAGAGCGGTTACCGGTTTACCAGTAAACCAGTTTGAAGCATTTAGCAGTTAACCAGTTAACCATTGACAACCGATTTTTGGCGGGAATGAATGGGCACGGTGGGGCGCCACCTCCCGATGGAGCGGCCTCCTCCTCCTCCCCCTCCTCCCCCTCCTACTTCTCCTCCCCCTCCCGCTCTTCCTCGTGCTCCTCCCCTTCTCCCTTCTCCCTCCCCCCCCTCACCGTTGGCGAGGTGTGAGTTGCGCCCCCCGCTGAGCGAGGCCTTGACGTGCTCGTAGCAGGCGAAGTAGAGGGCGTGGGCCGGGCCCGCTCCCGCCGCCATGGCGTTGACGCCGCGCACGGGGCGCCACGCGCCCTCGGTGCGCACGATGGTGCGCAGCGCGTGGAACACGTTCCGGTAGGCGGCGCGCGGGTCCGGGAACAGGGACTGCATGCGCGTCTGCACGCTCGCGGAGACGACACGGGGAGACATGAGGCACGGGGAGACGTGAGGCACGGGGAGACGTGAGGCACGGGGAGACGCGGGTTTCTGGAATCATGGCGCAGTGCTCAAACTGCCACTCGCACACGAAGATCCCACCCCCCCCCCCGTGTTGCCCGCTCATCAGTCGCACTATTGACAAATCTACAGCAGCTACTTTTTTGGAATTCCAGGAATTATAATCACCTGAATCCAAGCAACCAATCCTCAGCATCCTTACAAAAACGGACAGGCAGATTTGAACCGTGAGTCTGTGAACCGAGCGGCGAGGATGCCCCGGCTGCGCCACGTCGCTGTGGATGGACGACGTCTGGACTTGACCCCGGGGTGGATTCGAACCCAGACGCTCATGACTGGGAGGTTGCAGGCTTAACGGTGGGGAGCAGGGAGGCCAGAGCAGGGGGAAATAAGCGAGGAGGAGGAAGAGGTGGTGGGTGTGAAGCTTCCTTCCTCCACTCATCTCTCAGGGGTCCCGGGTGCAATGGGGAGATTCTCCGAAGTTCCCAGTCACAGGCGCGACAGGCCGAGCGACCATCGCCCACAAACCAGCCTCACCGATTTATCCTGAAAAGTGGTGTTTGTCGGATCCACATTGGAGCGGATCTATAGTGGAGTGGATCTACAGCAGAACGGGTCTATAGTGGAGTGGATCTACAGCAGAACGGGTCTATAGTGGAACGGGTCTATAGTGGAGTGGATCTACAGTGGAGTAGATCTACAGCAGAACGGGTCTATAGTGGAACGGGTCTATAGTGGAACGGGTCTATAGTGGAGTGGATCTACAGCAGAACGGGTCTACAGCAGAACGGGTCTATAGTGGAACGGGTCTATAGTCGAGTGGATCTGCAGCAGAACGGGTCTATAGTGGAACGAGTCTACAGTGGAGTGGATCTCTGGACCGAGCAGGTTCTCAGGGGAGCGATCATCATCCATGACGCGGCGCATTCCGCACACGCACCCCGCGTGACTCGGCACTGCAAAGTGGACACGACGAGAAGCGGCCCCCCCACTCTGCTCCACACAGCCACTTACACGGGGGGGGGGGGGGGGGGTACAGGCGAGTTTAACAAGTAGCTGCCTCATCAGTGGAACCAGCAGCTGCGTCGTCAGTATGAACGGCAGCTAGCAATGTCCCTCATGTTGAGACAATGCGTCTGGTTTTGGTCACTGTATAAACACAAACCGTGCATGTATCACAGTGTTTGTTCTGAGTGCGAGCCAGTCACGCTGGCCACACCACCCCCGTTAGGGTGCAGTTCCGGCTTTCATGTGTTACTCACTAACAGCACTTGCCCCAACATTCTGTCAAGGCTATACGTGTGATCTTTGTATTTGTATATGCATGTATGTGTGTAGGTGAGTGGTTGGGTGAGTGGTTGGGTGAGTGTCGGTCGGTGGGTGTGTGAGTGTTTGGGTGAGTGGTGGTGGGTGTTGGTGGGTGTGTGAGTGGTTGGGTGAGTGGTTGGGTGGGTGTCGGTGGGTGTATGTGTGGTTGAGTGAGTGGTGGTGGGTGTCGGTGGGTGTGTGTGTGGTTGGGTAAGTGGTGGTGGGTGTCGGTGGGTGTGTGAGTGGTTGGGTGAGTGGTTGGGTGAGTGGTGGTGGGTGTGTGTGTGGTTGGGTAAGTGGTGGTGGGTGTCGGTGGGTGTATGTGTGGTTGAGTGAGTGGTGGTGGGTGTCGGTGGGTGTGTGAGTGGTTGGGTGAGTGGTTGGGTGAGTGGTGGTGGGTGTGTGTGTGGTTGGGTAAGTGGTGGTGGGTGTCGGTGGGTGTATGTGTGGTTGAGTGAGTGGTGGTGGGTGTCGGTGGGTGTGTGAGTGGTTGGGTGAGTGGTTGGGTGAGTGGTGGTGGGTGTGTGTGTGGTTGGGTAAGTGGTGGTGGGTGTCGGTGGGTGTATGTGTGGTTGAGTGAGTGGTGGTGGGTGTCGGTGGGTGTGTGAGTGGTTGGGTGAGTGGTTGGGTGAGTGGTTGGGTGAGTGGTGGTGGGTGTCGGTGGGTGTATGTGTGGTTGAGTGAGTGGTGGTGGGTGTCGGTGGGTGTGTGAGTGGTTGGGTGAGTGGTTGGGTAAGTGGTGGTGGGTGCGGTGGGTGTATGTGTGGTTGGGTGAGTGTCGGTGGGTGTGTGTGCGTGAGACACTCCAGTAGTGAATGGACCCACTGTGTTCACACCTCCCGTCTCCCGTCTCCTGGCAGATCAAAGAGAGGCCCCTGGGCCACGACGGCACGATCCCAGTCAACTCGCATCGCTCCAGCAGGAACACAAAGGCAAAGATTCTCCCTGTAGGCTTAACAGCACTTGCCCCAAGTGCTGTTAACGAGCTCCTATGAAGGCAGGCACAGTGCACCCAAGAGGGGGCGCGTGCGTGGTCAGGACCACGCTCGGCCGCCTTTGTCTCTCCAGTGGTGATGTTTACACACTGCACCAGGTACTCATTAAGGCCTAGGGGAGGCCCAGGACCAGTTAAGAAAATCGTCACCAGCGTTGGCCGTGAGCAAGAATCGAACGTGGATCGCCGGGGGGTTCGTGACGCGGCGTGCTCACCGCTGCGCCCCTGCTCAGGGTGTGCGTACAACATATGCGGGTGTGATGGCGGAACGAGGATGAAGGCATCGCCTCCACAGATAGAAGTGGTCGTGGAGCCCATGGCCAACAATCCGTGGTTTCCTGCGGCTCTTACGAGCATTGAGGCATTGGTGTTATGTCCCGTTCACAGGCCTGCAGAGCCAGTGATGAAAATTCCACATTCCCATGACGGGGGCAAGTCTATACATAAAACAACCGCTGTTGACTTCCCACTCATTCATTTTACCGACATGCTGAAGATAGAGCACAAGCGGGCGAATGAGATCATCCACATGACGAGGCGTGCGGCTGGGGGTGCAGGACGCTTCAATGCCACAAGGGACAGCGATAGGCGCTGTACATTTGTGTGCTGAACTTCTTTCGCACCATACATTGCCAATCGCGCTATTCGGAGGTGCGGGGGAAGGACAGAAAGATGCCTCGAGATGAGACGATGGATACCGCGGAGATGGAGCGATAACAAAATAAGCTCGTGCGTAAGGCAACTGCTGGGTGGATTGCGTGCGTTCGTGGGAATTGAATTTCACATCGGTGTCGTGTCGTAAGGAGTGGCCCCAACGGTTCAGCGTTGCGCGCACATCGAAGGTTATGGCGCAACACGTCACGCACGCAGCCAGCAGAACGCACCGTCATCATCATCAGCAGCCATGGTCAATCCACTGGTGGACAAAGGCTTCCCCCACCTCTCATGATCCTGCGATGTCACAATCCACCCAGTTCTTGCACACCAATTGATTTCATCGCTCCATCTCCACCACGGTGGATGTTCCGTATTTTAAACGCGATCCGTTCCTCGGCCGCTGTTCCGTCTTGAGTCTCGCCCGTCGGCCATCATCGTCCCTTGTGGCCGCGATGCATCCCGTTGCCCGAGTCCTACTCGCGTCTTCTAGTCCACGTGGCCCCTTCTTGCCTCCCAGATGGACTCTGCCCCCTCCCCCGACTGGGATCCGATGCTCCGACCGCGAGCCGCGGCACCGAGTGGACGGGGGAGCGCGAGGCCGCGGCAACGGTAATGCGCCGGCGTGCCGGAGGGTCCTCTCACCAAATCGACGCTCGCAGCAAAAACAACCGGGAGTGCCGCGCCACTCTGCGCGAGGCAGCGGCCGTGACCGCGCTTGTGTTGGCAGTGATTTTAACCGCGTCGCGTGGGATGACGGAGCGAGCGCTCCGGCGGCGTGCGGTGAAACGGCGCCACCGTAGCGTCTCGCTAACGAGCGACGCCAATCGTCGACACTCTCGCTCGCCACCAACCACACTCGCCACCAATCACACTCACCACTAATCACACTCAAGAGCCATGATGAGGGCGGCAGGGCGGAGTAGTGGACACGCCCGTGCCGCCTCACGGCAAGCAGCAGCGCTGGGATTCAATCCCAACTCGGGTGTTCTCCCCTTTTTCTGCTCAGGTTTTCTCCGGGTTCTCCCGTTGCCCCCCATAGCTAAAGGACACCACACAAGTTAACCCGTATTGGCCAAAGATCTCCAGTGCTGAGACACTAATGGCAGCAGGACCCCTGCGTGCGGCCCCTCCGCGCGCTTGCGAGAGACGTAATTTTCACGGACGACGCCGACGCCGGCGCCGCGATGTAGCGACTCAACACGGCGAATGAGCCCGTCGTGTGAGCGGGGCCCGTCGTGTGAGCAGGGCCCGTCCTGTGAACGGGAGCCGTCGTGTGAACGGGGCCCCTCAGTCGCCGTTCTACGTCAACCGCCTCGCTGCCCGGCCCCTCGCCCGTCCCGCGCCCCACACCGCACACGGCACTCCGGGGCCTCCGCCCGACTTCACCCGCGTGGAGCGGCGTCGTCACTCGGGTCGAGGACGCGTCCCGGCAAGCGGGGCCCACAGCGAAGCGGCGGCCAGGGAACGGGAACGCGGCCGTGCGGTGCGACGACGGCCACCGCGGAGAGGGAGCCGCTGGGGCGATCGTCACGTCGCAGGGTCGCGAGGAATGACGGATTGGGGAGGGAGGAGACCTTCATCCAGAGTTCAAGAGCAGCCCACGTATTGCGACTCTATGCGTTGTGCAAAGATGCCGGGAGATGTGCAAACGCCAGGGCACTGCTGCGCGATGCTTATCCTGCCATCTCCGGGCAGGCTGACCGGGCAGGACGCCCGCACTCGCCGTGCTCGCTCCGCATTGCATGCGGCGGTGGAACAAAATCAGTTAAGCGCGGAAAGATGCCTCTAGAGGAGAGGAGGGCCACCACAGAGATGCAGCGGGGAAATCATGCTCATGGCATGTAGAGTAAGAGCTCTGAGCATTGTTGACCATGAATCACGGTGTTGATGATAATGATGAAAGTAAGGGTTGACCCAACAAAGCTCAATGGTGAATCATGTAAAGGGCAGTACCGATCTTCACTGCTGACCCTCAGCCAGT